TAGTCGACCGTAGTTTGAGTCTCGGACCCAGTGGCTTAAACTCACACTGGGCGCATGTGCACACGTGCCCAAGATCCCAAGAGGAGAATGGAGGAGAAGGGATTGTGGTGTGGCCATCCCCCCGGGGAGGGATTTCTCACGTTCTGTCTCTCTGTCTCTCTCTGACTCTTTGATGAGTGCATGCACCCTATAGCAAAAACCTCTAAATTAAATAAATAAATATTTCATGTACACTTGAAAAGAATACATATTCTGTTGTTATTGGGTAAAATGCTCCATATTAATAAATTGGGTAAAGAATATTAATAGTGTTTGTCATATTTTCTATATGTTTCTACTGAAATGTATGTTAATACTTGGCTCTATGGTTTGTTTATTATTCTTTTAATCAATATATTTTACTAATTTAATCTATTAATAAATATACTGATTTATGTTTGATGTATTTTGAAGTGCTATTATGTGCATATAAAAACAGAATTGTTCTATCTTCCTGGTAGGTTGTATATTTTATCATTTTCAGGCATTGCTTTGTATCTCTAGTAATAATTCCTGGTTTAACGTTTACTTTATCTGACATTAGTAAAGCTACTCAGGTTTATTTTGATTAGGAGCTTCATGTGTTTTGTTATCCACTTGCAAAAGAATGAATTTGCATTCCTACCTCCCACCATATTAAGGAATTAACTTGAAATTCATCTATGACCTCAATGTATGAACTAAAATTATAAAACTCTCAGAAGAAAACATAGTTGTAAATCCTTATGGCTCTTCATTAGGTAATTCTTTTTATTTTTTAAATAATTATTTATTTATTTAATTCCATTTTGTTATTATTATTTTTTAATTTGACCAGAGAGAGACAGAGATAGAGAAGGAGAAAGTGAGAAAGCAAGCCACCAGGTCCAGGACTCAACCCGCGGTCAGCCACATGGGACTCCAGCGTCTCTAACCAACATGCCACCTGTCAGTCCCTAGGCAATTCTTTAAAAAAAATGTAAAGGAGAAAACAGGTGAATTAAGATTTCGTCAAAATATAAAGCTTTCATCTTCAAAGACACTGTAAAGAAAGTGAAAAAGACAATCCACAAAGTAGGAGAAATTATTTACAAATCATATAACTCAAAAGGGTCCAATATCTAGGAACATATATAGAGTTCTTACAACTCAACAATAAAGACAAATATTCAATTTAAAAAATGGCCCACGACCCAGCTAAGGAGGCATAGTCTGCTAAGATGCAGTAGTCACAGGCTGGGACCACACGGGGAGGCCTGGGTTCAATTTCCATCGTTATAACCGACAAAGGTTGGGCACCAGAGTGTGTGCCTGTATTTTCAGTGACTAAGGAGACTGAAGTAGGTGGGCTATGAGCTCAAGACAGGCCTGGGCAATATTGTAATACCATGTGTAAAAAAGAGCAGGGCATGGTGGTGTATATAGTCCCAGTTGGGAGCTTGAGGCAAGAGGATTGCAAACCAGTGAGACTCCATCTTTTAAAAAAGTCCAAATATTTAAACAGGCATTTTCTTTCTCTTTTTTTTTTAAGTGAGTTTGTTTTGCTATAGGGCATGTGTGCTCACCAGAGAGACAGAGAGACAAAGACAGAAAGTGAGAAATCATCTTCCAGGGTGGATGGCCATGCCACAATCCCTTCTCCTCCATTCTCCTCTCGGGACTTTGGGGATGCACTCACATGCGCCTGGCATGAGTTTCAAGTTGCCAGGTCTAGGACTTGAACTGAGGTCAGCCATGTGGTAGTCCAGCGACATAACCGTTGTGCCATCTGCTGGCCCCCTGAATAGACATTTTCTAGAAAGAGTATAAATATAGCCAATAAGTAAAAGAAAAGACATGCAACTTTACTAGTTGTCAAGAGCATTAAAATTCAAACCACAGAGAGATGCCACTTCATACCTAAGATGGCTAAAAGAAGAAAGAAGAATAATTACAAATGAGGATGTGGTGATATTGGAACCCTCCTACTTGCTGACATGAATATAAAATAGGGAAACCACTGTGGAAAACAGTTTCTCAAATGGCTAAGCAGAAGTTTACCATGTGACCCACTAATTAAACTTACCCGTATATATCCAAAGAACTAAAAACATGTATCTACACAAATACTCATATATTAATGTTCAACCTCAATACACTATGTTAAATGAGAAAGCAAGTCACAAAAACCTACATATTGCATGGTTCCATTTGCAGAAATGTCCAGAATAGGCAGAAAGCTGATCGGTGGTTGTTAGGGGCTGCTATGGAGGGGAGGGGATGAGAACTACTAATGAGTGCAGTGTTTCTATTTTGGGGTGATAATGAAGTTCTGGAATCTGATGCACAGATTTGTGACAATACTAAAACAACAGACAAGAGTGACTTTAAAAGGGTGATTTTTAGGTTATGTCAATTACACTTCAATTTATAAAAAACAAAAAACAAAAAACAGGCAAAAACTATCTATGGTTTTGTATAAATAAGAACCATATCTATTGCAATGGAGATATTGACTAAGGAGAGACATGAGAGACTTTCCAGGGTTATGGGAAACATTCTTTATCTTAGTTCTAAGAATGATTGCATAGATACGTTTGTCAGAATTAATTAAACCAGGGAACCAGCAGTTAGCGTATTGGCTATGTCGCTGGACTCCCACGTAGTCGACCGCGGTTCATGTCCTGGACCCAGTGGCTTAGAACTCACGCCGGGCGCGTGTGCGTGCGTGCCCAAGATCCCGAGAGGAGAATGGAGGAGAAGGGATTGCGGCGTGACCATCCCCTCTGGGGGTTGATTTCTCCCTTTCTGTCTCTATGTCTCTCTCTGTCTGTCTGGCGAGTGCACGCGCCCTATAGCGAAAACCTCTCCAAAAAAAAATAAAAAAGAATTCATTAAACCATAGACTCCCACATGACTGATACCATTTTAAGTCTTGAACCTGGTACCTTGCTTGCTAACTCCACCCCCCCTCCCTCTCTCCCTCTCTTTATGTGTGTCTCTCTCTAGTGAGCACGACATGTACCTATAGCAAATTTTAAAAAGATTAAAAAGATTTTTGCTATTGGGTACTTGTGCTCACTGGAGAGAGATAGAGAAATAAAGTGAAAAATCACTCAGGGATGACCACACTGCAATCCCTTGTCCTTTTTTCTCCTCTCAGGATTTTGGGCACATGCACATGGGCCTGGTATGATTTTTTTCAAGCTGCCTGGTCCAGGACTCAAAACATGGTCAGCCATATGGAAGTCCAGTGCCTTAACCACCACACCACCTGCTGGCTGGCACCACCTTATAGCAAATTAAAAAATAATAATAATAAATAAAACTAGATTAATAAAAACTTTTTTAGAGTTTTGCTGTAGGGTATGTATGCTCACTGGAAAGACACAGATAGAGAGAAAAAGTGAGAAATCATTTTTTTTGGCCATGCTTCTCATGAAATTTTGGACATGCACGCACCCACACCCAGCCAGCATGTTTTTCTAGACACCAGGTCCGAGACTTGAACTGTGGAGTCAACCATGTGGTATCCACTACCTTAACCACCATGCCACCTGCTTGTCCTATTTAAGGAAAATTTTGTGTAATGGTTATTAGGCTTCTGAGGTTAGAGGTGGGAGAGAACCAATCTTCACTGTATAGTTTTAATATTTTTATTTTTTATCTTATAGCATGTGTATTACTTATTCCGCAAGTCAATAATGACTTACATTAATAAATTCTTTTTTCTTCTTTTAGCTTTCCTTGATAAATGTTTTCTTCATAAAGGAGTTAGTGAAAGAAATATTGGGAGAAGTTGAGAGTATTTATACTGTCATTGCTCTATATACAGACCTGTAAGGCAAGTAGGAGTTTGGTGATGCACTTTGGGGAAAATCTCAGAACTCTTGAGTAATGTCATCCAATTCTGGGGTGCATCAGAAAACTTTCCCAGTTATTCCCGATGGCTATCTCTTGGAAGAAAGTGGTAGAATAGAGTTAAATATTGCTCTCCCTTCCTGTTCACCTTGCTCAGTTTTCAGCACAAAGAACGTGTCTGATACATAATAAATAGTTAACAAATACTTGTTGACTATAATATAGTTGTACAAAAACTTTCAGGAATTCCTGTGGCTGCCGGAGGAATTCCTTTTATGAATAGGCATCCATACTGTGAAGATGGGTTGTACAGAGAATGGATACAAATATTACATGAAAAATATATTTCATGTGTTAAATCAACATGAATTATGACATGTGACATACCTATAATGAAAATTCTTACAGTAAATTTCATCTTTAAGTAGTGGAATTTTTTTTTTTAGAGATTTTTTTTTTTTTTTTACTATAGGGCGCTTGCGTTTGCCAGAAAGACAGAGCGAGACAGAGAGACAGAAAGCAAGAAATGATCCCCCAGGGGGGTAGGCCATGCCACAATCCCTTCTCTTCCATTCTCCTCTCAGGATCTTGGGCACACACGCACATGCGCCTGGCGTGAATTTAAGCTGCCGGGTCCAGGACTCAAACCACAGTCGACTACATGGGAGTCCAGTGACATAGCCATTACACTAACTGCTGGTCCTGAGTAGTGAAATTTTTAAGGATTAGATTTTTCCTGTTATATTTTCTACATTTTTTTAATTGTCCACAATGACCATGTGTTGGTTTTATAATACTTTTTAAAACTGATCTTTTTTTGTTGTATTCCTGAAGACCACCGATTGCCACCAAGAAGAGTTTTAGGTCTTCTTGGTACATACAGGAAGGAGTATTATGTAAGATTTTTTTTTTTTATAATTTACACACCTATCTAAACACTTTTCCTCCAGAATACTAATACTGCTACTACTACTAATAATAATAATGTGTTAGTACAAATTATTCTAGCTTACCCTGAGTTATTTTTAAATTGAAATTTTTATAGCCATAAATATTATCTTCTGCATCCATCTCAGTCTGGAAACAAGCTCATGATGGCACAGTCTTCTAATCCCAAACCTGGTCAAGGACAAAGAATCCCCTCAGCAGTTTGAGGACAGGCTGCAGGTGCCTGAGGAGCACTGTGTGCTTGCTATGCAGAAGTACGAGGCTGAGTCTTCTGGTTGGGTGGGTGTGATATGCAGGGAGATATGCTTAGCATTTTTATCCAACAGCAATGTGAATCTTCTGTCCTGTTTGCTGTTCACATTTGAGCGCATCTCTATTAGGAGACTAGGGCCTTTTCCAGCTTCCTGCTTGTACCAGGGGAAATAATTCGAAGCCCCGTCTGTATAACTGCAGTTGATGACAGCCGTTTCTCTCTCCCAGACAGCCAGGATGGAAGGACTCTGTACCACATCCTTCTTCTGGCCACTTACCCCTGTTAAGACATGAAGATAAGTTATTGGGTCATTTTCAGAATCTATTTTTTATTCCTAGAGTATCTGTAGGAAACTTAGGGAGAACTGGAAAGACCCTCCTCTCATCCCCCAGATTTGTGATAGACCCTTCCAGAAGCCCCTGAACTTACAGTTCAGCAGAAGACATAAGACCATGAACGAAGCACCCAAGGACTCCTTTCTTCTTGCCATTACACTCACCAGCAGATCTGTATGTTCTGTAAAAGAGAAGGTATTTTATTTTCAGTGTGTTTGGGCTGTTTCTTAACCTGGCCAGGCCAATAAGAGCTCTGCTCTACCCCTTGATCCACTAATGCAGGTTAAGCCGTGTGAACCTTCCGTTTTCTGCATGTGAGATGTAGTGCTGCCATCTGTGGGTCGCCAACGTCCAAGGCAACTTGCACACACTTGTTCATTCTCTCTTTAGGAGAGCTGGCCTGTTTACCCTTACAAACCTCTCTTTATTCCCAAGTAGGAAATTAGTAGCACCTTGTTAAGTTTATATTTCTGGTGAATGAAAACATAGAGGATGCTATCCATTGACATCTTCTACACCTGTTTATACAGAAGCAGATGGTTATTCATTCCATACAGAGCAGTCTTCTTTGGTGCTCTAGTAAGTAAGGTCTTAAAAGATAAGTGGTCCTTTTGGCCGGAACTGCCATCTTCCAGTAATTAACCAAAATGACGAACACAAAGGGAAAGGGGAGAGGCATCCAATATATGTTCTCTAGGCCTTTTAGAAAACATGGCAACATATATGCTAATCTACAAGAAAGGTGATATTGTAGACATTAAGGGAATGGGTACTATTCAAAAAGGAATGCCCCACAAATGTTACCATGGCAAAACTGGAAGAGTCTACCATGTTACCCAGCATGCTGTTGGCATTGTTGTGAACAAACAAGTTAAGGGCAAGATTCTTGCCAAGAGAATTGATGTGCATATTGAGCATAATAAGCATTCTAAGAGCAGAGATAGCTTCCTAAAATGTATGAAGGAAAATGACCAGAAAAAGAAAGAAGCCAAAGAGAAAGTTACCTGGGTTCAACTAAAGCACCAGCCTGTTCCACCCAGAGAAGCACACTTTGTGAGAACCAATGGAAAGGAGCCTGAGCTACTAGAACCTATTCCCTATGAATTCATGGCTTGATGGGTGTTAAAAATAAACTAATCTGTGGTCTGTAAACATGTTTGCCTTAACTGAGTAGAATTATGTTCCCTCCTCAAAACTAATTTTTATTGGGCTCTAATTCATTTTGTAATATCTTTATTCAAATTTAGTATTTTTTCACCTGAAAGATGTTAGGTAGTTTGGTTTATACAACAAATAAAATTCAGTTGGTTAGGAAAAAAAAAAAAGATAAGTGGTATTGGACTGGAGCTTCAGAACAACTGAGAAAGTTCTTACTGACATCATGCCCGTCTGAGTCTTAAGAGAAAACATACAGAATGGGTAGGTTTGAAGAATTAACAGTTAAAACAAATATGGAGGGTGGACAGTAGGTGGTGTGGTGGTTAAGGCACTGGATTCCTACATGACCAACTGCAGTTCGAGTCCTGGAACTGGCAGTTTACTTTCTTACTTTCCCTCTCTTTATCTGTCTGTAGTGAATTCAAAGCAACAACAATAAATAAAATTAAATAGTTAATTCTAAAAAATCCTCTACAAATATGGGAGAGTCAGTGGGTAAGTAATAACTCTAAATGATGGTCTGAGACCCAGATTCCTTATTTTACAATTTAGATTTGAAGAATGTGCAGAGCCTTCAGAGAAGCTGAAGAGTTACCTGTCGTAAATTTCTGACACTTTTTCTGGTCCCAGAGTATAGGCTAACTTTACCTCTAGTTTCATTAGATATTTTTGATCCAGTAGAAAAAAAAAATAGGATGGTAGTTAAAGAAAAAAAATGATATACAGGATTTCATTTTTCTCTAGTGACTAGAAACTGATCAATGAGACGGAAGCACAGACCATGGCTTGGAGTTTGGATATGATGGCCAGCCCTGGGCTTTTTTCCTTCTGATCATACCTGTCTCGTAGATGTATGTCTCAAACCAAAAATTGTGAAGATTGTTACTCTCGTGTTCTATTATTATCTGCAAATCTCCCTTTGGGAACTTAGTCCTACTTACATTTTCTATCCTTTCTTCTCAATAAATTGAATGGGAAGGGAAGGAAATAAGAATGGAGTACAAGAACTAAATCAGTCTCATATACAAATCTGTAAATAAAGTAAGTTTACAAGAAGGCCATACTGAAGTTCAAAAGGAAGTCTTTTCTGTAGTGAGCAAGTGGATAAATTGACATGCAAATTTAATACAAGAGTTCCATATCCAGTTCTTTGATATCATCCATAGACATTTACAAAAACATAGGGCATGTTTTATAGCTATTAGAGAGAAAAATAGAACATCTTAGAAGAGAAATTAGGTAAATTTGTGCAGGATTTACCAAGTAACACCAAAAATAATTTAGAAAATAATTGACAAAATTATTATTTCATGAAGCATTTGGATCAGGGTGCTATTTTAATCTTGAACAGATGCTTAGTAACAACTTTCTGAAGTAGCAAGCACTATTTAAAATAAGGAAATGCATCCATATTGGACAATTGTCTAGGGACTGGTGTTCTTCTCCACCTAGAAATACTAAAAAGGACGAGATACAATTTAAATGTTTTCCTTTTATCAGATACACAGGACTCTAATGATAGAGTAAACAGACCTTTTATTGATAGCTTCAATATATTTCTGAATGGTATAAATTTAAAGGGTGTTCTGATGTAGCAAGGCTTCAATGGGTAAATCTAGATCACAACTTTAGTTCCCTTCCTTCCCAATTCTTTCCCTCTTCGATTGGTTCTTAAGTTGACATACGTGACATCTGGTATACCAGCTTCCTGGTACATCAAGACATCACTGCTTTCTAAAGAAAGTAAAGATTCAAGTCCCTTTTAATATCTTGCAAGGCTGTTAGATATGGGAGTGGATCTTTGCTTGAGCTGTTACTAACTTTGCAAGACAGGGTGAGCTCTGGTACCATGGAAAAGGTATAGGGCAGATGGAAATTGTCAGTAAATGGTTCCAGTTTATTTTATCTGTACTAGTAGAGCTACAGCCAATGTCTGTGCATGCATGTGTGTGAAAACATGATTTACCACTCTTGATGATTTACCACCATTTCCTTTGATCGTTTGATTGTTGTAATCTACATAAAGAACATGTTTACCCCTTAATAAAATTGATTTAGTGGCCAGCAGATGGGGTAGTGGTTACATCACTGGACTTCCACATGGCTGACCTTGGTTTTAGTCCCTGGACTGGTGGCTTGAAACTTATGGGGTGTGTGTGTATGTGTGTGTGTGCACATACCCAAGATCCTGGGAAGAGAATGGAGGAGAAGGGATTGTGGCATGGCCATCCACTGTGGTATGTGTGTGTGTGTGTGTGTGTGTGTGTGTGATTTCTCACTTTCCCTCTCATTGTCTCTATTTCTGTCTCTCTCTGGCAAGCACATGATGCACTCTAAGACAGAAACCTCTAAAATAAATAAGTAAATAAATAATAAAAACCAATTTATATCTACTCCTTGTAAAATTGCAGCATCAACATTATCATGGTAAAAATATTTGCATCTTCTTTTCTGGTTTTTGTTTTCCAATGTAAGAGGCCCCTAGGTGAAATGTTAACCTTTGCTTCAACCATCTCCTGACTAGAATCAAGCTCACAGATCCCTCCAACCTCCATGCTTCTTCCCTGACACCACTGAGGGATGTTTATTACTCCACTATCAGGTTCTGTTAACCATATTTTTGAGGGGATTAATTCTCAAAATCCCTGAAATTCTTTTCTGACATCAGCCACTTAGAAGTGTTAATGAGTTTTAAGTATTCGAGTAACATATTTTAGAATATTCTTTCTAATATGCTTGAACAGTGAGAGTTCACCCATATCAATATGCCAAATATTGAAAACAGATGTTTCTTTTCTTTTTCTTTTTTTTGGAGAGATTTTCACTGTAGGGCGCGTGCACTCGCCAGACAGACAGAGAGAGACATAGAGACAGAAAGCGAGAAATCACCCCTCAGGGGGGATGGTCACGCCACAATCCCTTCTCCTCCATTCTCCTCTCGGGATCTTGGGCACGTACGCACACGCGCCCGGCGTGAGTTTTAAGCCACCGGGTCCGGGACACGAACCACAGTCGACTACATGGGAGTCCAGCGACATAGCCATTACGCTAACTGCTGGTTCCCAACAGATGTTTCTTTTAAACTGTTTTTACTCATGATACCACAAGATAGGCCATATATAAAGCTGTCCCCAAAGAACTAAAGGCTCTTTCTCAAAATGGGCTAAAGATGGTTTCCTGCCCCTTATTCAAAGGTAGAGGAGATTTTCCTTGATTCCTCTCCATTGCAATGGGTCTTAGGCCATGCCCTTGTGGGTGACAGAATTTGCAGTGAGCTCTTTATCCCTATTCCCAACAACTTAAGGCTTTTCCTTCAGGTGAAGGTGTTGGGATCTGTATTTCCCTGCAGTAGCTGTTGATCATGTCTGCCATTCTGCTGTGCTCCGTCTGTCTCCCACCCTGTCCCTTGTCCTTATTTTGAACACTGTGAAAATGGTTCTACTCATAAGTGCAAATTTCTCTGAGTCTGTGACTCTCATCAGTTACACATTATCATAATAGTTCTTAATCTTTTATCAGATTTCATTTTCTTGCATATATGGCAGCCCAAAACTCTTTTTTCTATGCCCTGCCAAAATTATTTCAGTCCATATGCCTGTTCTTCTTGGAGGACCCTCTTCCTCACTGGAATCTAGCCTTCTGGGTTTCCCTGTTACCCCAGCTCCCTGATGGCTTAAAGCAAGTTTATAGTTTTGGATTTGTCTGTTTTTGCTGGTTAGGGTGAAAGCTACAGTCTTTAGTATTTTATATATCCTAGAAAGAATTGGAATTCTATTCATCTTCTGCTGAATCTAAAATTGAAACATTGGTATCAGGAATGCAGGCTCATTGTCAGCATTTCCTCTGAACCACAGGAAGCATTGCAAATGGTTCATCATTGTAAATTGCAATTCTTAATTGAAATGCCTCCTTTCTACTTAGTCTGGGAGAAGGGCACTATTTTCCCTTCCACTGGCTTTATTTTTACTTCTATTGGTCACTAAGCCCTTTAAAAAAGAGAGCTGGGGTCAGCGGATGGTGTAGCAGTTATGTCACTGGACTCCCACATGGTCGACCACAGTCTGAGACCTTGACT